TTCTGCATTTCGTATTAGTCATTAGGCTGTTACCATTCATTTGTAATAATAGATGCTAATTCCCCAAGTGTCATGTGCATCGAAGCGTTTTTGAACAAATATGGATTGAATGAAGAGTATAAAAGTATATTGGGCTTTTCTGTTATTGTGCAGGCTCTGTGGTGTCCGCAGCTCCAAGGCATGGCTATGATCATCTGAGAATGGTGCTGTTCCTATCTGTGCACTTCTGCTGTGATTCTCATTTCTGCAAGTACATTAAAAAATATTGGTAACATTTTTACAATCTTTTGAAATATTGTTCAATTCTGTAGAATCTCCCTTTCCTACAGCATGCCATATCAGGAGCTACTGTAAAATCCCGAGAGATGCCCCACCCCCGAAAGGTAACCCCCCCCCCCCCCTATTTTTCGCTTGATTGGCTATTCTTTTAAACATCGAAAGTAATCGTAGTGTGAGATATATGATGACCTCGGCGTAATTACATCTTGTTAGCTATAGCGAGATATAAGCGAACATTGCTGACTGGAAAATATAGTCATATTTGCTTCATTGCCCCTTGCTTCGATAACAAGTTTGGAAGAAAAACATAATCTAAAAATAGTTTATTATTTTTTCCAAGCTTTCTTGATCGCATGCTGAAAGTTGACCCACACTTCATTTTTAACAAATTCTTTCTCGATTTCAGGGGGTATGTTTCTCGGGATTTTGCGGTAATAGACTGTCATAGTCTATGTGCTGCATACAACTTTTTTTTTTAAACAGGCATTTGTGTGAAGGGAAGAGAGCAGTTGAATTTTTTGTAAACTCTCCATATATGCTGAAAACTTGCTTTTTAAGACTGACACAGCAGTTAAAATGGTTTGTTATCACAAACCGAGGGTGTCTAAAAGTTTTAAAGACATGGTGGGCTGCATCTATTTCCCCTTGGCTGTCATAAGCGGTCCGCGTGCCTCAGTTCAGAGCCGTATATTGGGAGAGTCTGGCCAGTGCTTGTGGCGACGAAGGCACTGGAGAGGAGAAAAGTGAAGGAAAAGGAGGAGAGTGCAAAGGAGCGAAAGAGAAAGAAGGGAACGAAGGGGAGACGACCACCATTTTGACGCAACGCTATTGGCTCGGAGCACTGTGGAGGCTACGCGTCATCTGCTACAGGCTTATTTCTTTTCTGCCTGAATCCAAGTTTACGTTCAGACATGCAGAAGCTTAATTCGTTTGCTTTTTAAGCCACGAAGGAATAACTCTGCATCATTTTCTTGCCAGAGCCTGCCAAATAAAAGGAAAGAATCAAAATTTAGATGTCGATCCCATGCTTCCGCCGGGCGAATGAATGAAAATGGCGGCCCTCCCCCCTCGGCTGGGGTCCACGCGCATGCGCTCACGCCTCTCGCTCTGCGCCGCGAGCTGATTGGCTCACTCGGGATGGGGACGTTACGGCGGCAAGATCATAGACTGACCGAACTTTCCCCATATTCGGCTCTGCCTCAGTTTACTTAGCCGTGGTTCAGACAAGTTTTTTTTTAGCGGCACTCGTTTTAATGCAGACATTGTCGAGATATACTATTAAGAAAGCAGTTTTATTAGTATGGAACTCAAACTAATTATGTAAGCATATACACAAGTTAAACAGATTTCGGCTGTTTAAAACAAGATGTCATGACGACAACATACAAGTCCATCACTGTACAAGTCGAGGTGCTGATGTGATACCTCGAGTTCGGGACCACATTCTGAGAGTTGAAGCAGTCCTGTATGGGCCACCTTGTAGGCACGCACATGTTGCTGAAAGCAGTTGGTTGTAAGCATTTCAAGTAACAAAAACACATCATTATGAGACACATAAATGTTGCGAATCTGTGCAAATGTGGGGAGCTCTCCTTTCACTACCACAAGAATGTCGTCTTCTCTGTAATCTCCTGCATCTAGAGAAACACTTTTCGCTTCCAAGAGGCTTACTTTGTGCTTCAAGCTTTGAGCAGCAGCTGGCAAATTATCTCTGTTGACCTCTCTTGCACGCAGCATTCTTGGACTTGATTTTGCTTCAAGGGAATTCATTTCAAAGCTCTGCAGCGACTGGTGCCGTGATGCAAGCGTCTTGCAGATGTTTCTGAAATTTTTTACCTTTGAAGCCGTGGCTTTAAAATACTGATGCTTTGCTTCAAAGTGAAGGCACCAGTATTGGCGCAAAGGTCCAAGGGCAGCTGTCATCCTTGCGTAGTGCACAATGTAGTGGATTTTTGGGAGGATCCTTGCCTCAGGGTACATCTCTGTGAATGCTTGGATGAAGTCTTCCACTAGAACTTCGAGGTATGCAAGCCAGTCCTCGAGAATCTCTTCAGAGAGCACCAAATCAACAATGCCGTGCAGCTGGAGGAGCACATTCCAGTGTCTGTTTCCTTCCGGAATGGATGTTCCGAATATCAGGGGATAGAGTCTGAACAGGCACCGTTTTTGAGAGGCCGTACCTTTGAGGCTTGCTCCTCCCTGAATAAATGCAGCTGTCAGTGGTTCTGGACGGTTTTTCCTGTCATTGAACCCGTAAGGAAAAGTCTCCACTCTCTTCAGATCCTCCAGGCTCAGTGTGCCTTCGTCCATTAGACCTTTTGTGACATGCTTAATGATGAATGCAAGCGCACCTTCAAAAAGATCGTGCATGACGTCAGGGGCCATTTGCATCGTGACATCAAAATAGGTCAACTGTGATATTGGGGATGGGCCGACAACACCATACAGCTTGCAATTGACCTGAGGGTTTATCTTAACTGCAGCTAAGTGGCTGTTGTGGCTATCTCTTGTCCTTATTTGGCAGTGCTCTTCACTTGTCACGGTACGAAGGTCGCGACTTCTCACCATGCAGTAGCGGCATACACGCCCTTGTGAAAAACACGCCGAAAACCCTCCTAACTTATGTTGGGAGAGATTGTCGCCACACACTGCCATCACAATGACCTTCACATTTTGTGGAACACCATTTATAGCTGCAGTGAGGCCAGTGCTGCTGAGTTCTTTCAAATCATCAAGTAGTGGTTTCAGGATGGCACAAAGCCCATGTTTTTCGACATCCTTAAATTTTGCTAGAATGACTAAGTAGACAGACCTGAGCCTTGATCTGTATCGTGGGTGGATGTTTAGCAGTGTGAAATACACTGTTGTCAGCTTGTGGACTCCACGTTTGGCCCCTAGGGGGTTGGCAATTTCCACCTCGTCCATGTACAGTAGCACAAAGAGCGTCATTACAGATGCGTCTGTCACAACATCTCGTAACCTCTCATACGCGGATCCATCCCTGAAGTCTTTATAGGTCTTGTACCCATCGTCTGTCAAAGTGGGGACATGCTCATCAATTAAGAGTTCTGGAGCTGCCTTCAACTGGAGGATGTTTGTAAGCACTTTTCCAATCGATACATATTGAGATGTGTCACCTTCATCTCCGACTTTCACTTCATCTGGACTCACAAAGGGAAACATGTTTCTTGCGAACTGCTCTCGTGCATGCTTTGACCTGACACAGCTGAAAATCTGTTCAACAAAGGTGCAATGAAGTAGAGTTGCTAGTTCTCTGGGCAGTGCGTCGTAACTGAATGGCAAGGCCTGTTTAACCTGTCCAGCAAATTGTTCTAATACAACCTGAAGCATGAACCGCATGTCTGCAAACACCAAGTCTGCTGCACTGTGAGGCACCTTGTGCTCTTCTGTCAACTTAAAGAAACACATGCAGACAGTCTTGGTCATGGTGGAAAGGAACTCGTCAAATGTCTGAGGCTTGGTGGTGCTGGTGGTTGGTGGATTGTCACGACTTCCACCTGGGAGAACTGGGTCATCCTGCGCACTTTCATCTGGGAGAACTGGGTCGTCCTGCGCACTTTCATCTGGGAGAACTGGGTCATCCTGTGCACTTTCACACTCCATGGGGCTTTCTAGTTGCGGAGGTTCAGGTGGCGAAATGGCATCCTTGTGCTTCCGGTATAGATGTTTTCTGTACGACTCGACGTGCCTGTATGACTTTCCACAACTGTCCACAGCACATGTGACAAGGAAGTTGTGCTCTCCACTGTGCACGACCCCGAGATGACTAACGATCACAGTTAATTTTTGATCAAAAAATGTGCAACGGGGGCACTGAAAGAAGTGAATTTTCTCCATGTTGTAACCGCCTGTCAACCGGCGTTAAGTGTTCTGACAAAGTTTTGCTTGCTTGCTTCGATCACATCACGCTAAAAGAGAAAGGGAAACTCCACGTTTTTCTGTGTTTTTCTTTTTAAAAAGACGCCAGCATCTCTCGTGCTAGCATCTCTCGCGAGTTCGGGGCCCCTGATTGGCCTATTCAACGTCCTACTCTTTCGGAAGCAGCAGACGGCTTTTTAGAGCAAACAGAGCAGTGAACTCTGCGTGTGGTAAAAGTGCGCGAATGTGGTGTTGACGCGAGGCACCATAACCGACCACCCTGAACGCGCGTTGAAGCACTCCTGAAGATGGCTGGTTCTGATAGAACCCGAAGACAATCTCCGAAGCGGCATCTCTTATTGTACGAAGCATACCTCCGAAGCGGCATCCTTTGTATACGAGTCGGCTGTTTACCTAGTTATAGGGTTCCCCTCTCTATCGCGTAAACCCTAGGATTTAGCGCGATGAACACTACGAGCTACCCGAGCCAATTCATAGCACGTGGCATGTCATGTGACTTCTCTGTTCTGGCGTCACTCCCCCTCCCCCAAGAGGACACGTGACATTCTCCGAGCTATGGACTGGCTCTAGTGGTTCGTAGCGTCCTTTGCGAACCATCGTAGAGGAACAAAGTATAGCTGCGCGCAGTCTTGCCAAAGGTACAGGGCTGAAAGTGTAACCAACTGAAACAACGTTGGGAGCTACGTGCCCACCGGACCAATAGCCAAGCAGGGGCACCGGATTTCCCCATCGCCCGGGCTTGCCTGCGAGCGTTTTAGTTTCGCCTCCACCTCTTGTTCTGTACGCACAGCAGCAAATCGCTGCTCTAGAGCTGAGAAGAAATGAGCGTTACTTGTATAGTGAAGTACAAGGAGTCCTGCAAAAAGCTGGTTGTAGGCGGCGAGAAGGCTGCGTGTGATGTGAGAACGACCCTTCTCACAAGCCCCTTTAAAGATGTCGTGGACAACATGTTGATACAGGTGAGTGATATGCGCGCACACGTTTTGTGTGGTACTTGCAGAGGCGCGAGAGCGGCTTTCAAGATTAGGTCACAGAGGTTTTCGATTTCGATAAAATAAATTCTGTTCCGCGTCATTCATGAACAATTTAGGCTATCGGTGACCCTCTGGAGGGAAACACCCGCTCTGAAAAGATGTCGGTGGTCGCTGCAGGAGCGGGTGGCGAGTAATTGCGAGCCGATCGGGCACCGATGCACTTTCTCCAGTGCTTCCAATAAAAAAAAAAAGCCACGTCTCCCCGTGTAGAATTTTTTTTTCGAGTAGGTTTTGTTTTGTTTTGATGACAGGTTGAGTCTACACATCTCTGATTAGGCTGCGTCGAATAAGGCCAACATTTATTTAAAAATTGGTGTGGTTTAACTATAAGTTTGGTTATTACTTGCCGCTTACGGCCTGCCCCCCCCCCCCCCCTTTTTTAATAATTGTTTTTCATTGAAGCTAGTTAACTAAGCCCATTGCCCTACATGTCTACAAACCTTTAAAAAAAAGTTTATTACTTTAGATGTGATATGCCGCGGGTGTTCCAATAAAGATCGATTTAAAAAAAAGTTCCTAAATTATGTTGTACGGGATAGACAGAACCTCTTTCTGGGAACAAATTGACAGCCGCAGTGGGCGTCCGTATTCCGAGAAAATATACTAATTAACAAACCAATTAAAAAAAATAAAAACATTATTTTTTAATCGGCGCAGTTTGGTAGCCACTGCGAGTTTGATGCCGCAGACAGAATGACCCCATATCCGTTTTTAAAACAGAAGTTTTCAAAAACTGTAGCGTGAGAAAATCGCGAGCTTTTTCCGAAGGAAACCGAAACAACACGAGAAGCGCAGGAAATCACGTGCAACGGTACCTTCAGCTGGTGACGTGCTGTGACGTCACCTAATCTTCGACGCGCAGTTCAAAACGTCTACGTCATTTTACCGTCGACCTCGGCACGCAGCACGCGCTTCTTGCCGCATCACTCATAAAAAAATAAATAAATAAAAAGTTTGCTAATGTTGAAGACCATGGAGCACGGAATGTCCCGCACGAACCACTCTGTGCATCATTCGCGCAATGTGTTTCAATCTGTTTATATATATATTTATTTGTTTTGAAATATATATATATATTTTTATTTTAGTGTTATTTTGTTTTTATTCTGATATATTTTATTGCATTACATTATTTTTGTGATTTTATTTTTATGTTATCGGAATTTCATTGTATATTATTTTTTAATCTTTTTTTATATTTGTTGTTGTGTATTTTTATTTGTTTTAGTTATTATTTTTACACAAAACATGCTGCTCTCACTGGCGCATTTGCTTTTAAATCAAAATTATTAATCCCTCAAGGCCAGCTGTGTGACTATGATATCCAACTGGCCGCCGCACCGACCTAGCTTCGAGCCTCGCCGAGGCTCGATCTTTATATATCAACTTTATATGAAAGCTTAACATCTGTAATGCTTCCATCATGTATTCAAGACGCTCGCTATGACTGCTATGATGATACCTGTTCATGCAATTTTCTTCTAGGAAATGCCCCATAAAACACATTCTGTGTTTAGAAGAAAAAAAAAATGGAACTGCTACTTGAAATGAAAATCTGTGCAGGTCTATCTCTCTTGCATGGAGTGATGCGGCCAATGCAAGTGGCCGCCGGATGCCGAGCTGGAGAAAAAATAATGCAGAAAATTTGAACCACGTGCCGTAATTGGGTGACGTTTTAACTCGTCAACAGCGGAAGTTTTCTTTGCACATAATTCTCTGTGCTTCTCATTCACTGTTTCGGTTTCCTGCAGAAAAAAAGCTAGAGATTTTGTCGCGCTGCAGTCCTTGTGAGAAGGGATTTTTCCGTTTTAGAAATGAATATGGGATCATTGTCTGCATCATCAAACTTGCAATTCATACTGCCCACCAAACTGCACTAATTTACAAATTAATCGGTAGATATTTGGTATGTTTCTGCAATCCCAGGCATCTACCGTGCTTAGTTGACAATTTGTTTTCAAAAAGAGTTTCTTTTTATCCCAAACAGCATAATATAGAATACCATGCATCCTCCCATTCCGCACTAAGCGCCCACTCCCAAAACTTTAAACATCTAAAAAAATGTGCACAGTACATATATATATATGTAAAATTGATGACCTCACATGCGCCCATCCCCTATTTTTTCTTGATTATCTTCAAAGTTTGAGTTGGCACTTGCTCGGTATTTTATGGTATTTTTTGAGATTTTTAAAGTCATTGTAGAAACACTCGGTATTAACTTACCTTTTCACGTGCAGCTAAGCTGATTTATATTTAATATTTGTTTCAGGTGAAGAACAAAGCACTCAATGAGTTCTTTGATATTGACGACACAACTGTTGTCACGAACGGTGACATTATAAGACTGGTCGAAAACCCATTCCTGGACCTATTCGCCAGAAGTGCACCCTTGGAGCTGTTAGTACATTTATGGCACACTTGATCTATTTGCTTGTTGTGTTGAGTGTGTAAACACTTTCACTTTCAGCACGTATAAGAGGATGACGATGACATTACTGCATATGTATAATTTGCTTCATAACCGGGACAGAGCCCTAGCATCTTTGATTTTGTCATGACAGAAATTGATGACACTGCTTTTTGTACATTGTTAAGAAACTTTCTTATGGTGGAAAGACTAAGGACAGAATACTTCTCCACTGCAGCGATCCTGATTTCGCATTGAGCCCGGAGAGTCCTGCTGTTCCCAGCCCTGTATCCGTACAATCAGCACCTGGACCACTATGGTACAAGTTTCCTGACTTCCCGATCAACATTGCTCAGGAAATTGAAAAGACGGAAGTGGGCAAGGTGATGCCGGATTTGAGGAGGAACATCATCAGACAGATTGTCTCATCTTTATGTATAGAGACTATGTGAGTATCAAACTGTATTTAACATTAGTTCTCCATTGTTTAATATTTAATTATTTTCCAGCTAGCAATCATGATGAGGCATTGGGAGGGCACACTTTCCAAACGCCAGATTGCCTCGGGCAATCTGGCATTTTCATGTGGAAAATTAGTTCAAGGCATTTGCAACAGATGTGCAGTCATGTCTCCACTTTTTGCAGGGTCTTACATAATTTGTAACGAAACATATGTCTTTTATATGCACTACCCATATCCTGAGTCCCATAAATGCTGCTCTATCTGATGTGTATCCTGATAGACGTGAACAATTTCTGCGTGATCAATTCTGGTAGTTCAGTTTTAATTTGGGGTGAAGGCTCAGTATTTTTTTGCTAGTGAGTTTCCTTTGATGTATGTGGCATCACCACAGTCGAGACTGCAAACTCAAACATTAGAAGAGGGGAAACGTTTGTGATTTAAGCTCCATCCTTTACTATCATTAGCATATTAATCTTCCTTTCTTCTTTAAAAAATGCTTCAAAAGAAAAAAAAGAAAGAAATTACATGTTCTGGTTTATACAGCATGAGGCTGCTTCAAGACAAATAGAGCCAAAATGTCCTAGTAGGTGCTGCTCAGGGAATTTTCGATTAATGTGATATGAGCTGAGCTAGTTGGTGCATGATACTAGGATAGGGCCAGCTTAAACAAATAAGAGAAAAAAAAAGTGAAATTACCGATAGAAAAATAGTGTTATAACTGAACTACCAGCTAGACTACATGAGAAATGCTTGGAACTCTGGCCATCGAAGAAAACAAAGCAATGCATGTCAGCGTGCCTTTTATCAAGCTAAACATGAAAAAATATATATATATTTGCGGTGTTTTACGTTTCACTGAAATGTGGGTCACATTTCAAACTAAATTCTATCTATTTATCTCTTAGAAGAAGAAAAAGAATCACATACCATATTTGCCGGACTATAAGTCGCACCCTTGTATAAGTCGCACCTCTTCGCACGGTTCAAGCGATGAGTTCTTTAGTTTACGTGCATCGGTATTGCAAAATCAGGGTTTTGCACAATCGGCTAGATCGCATGTACTATCGGGGAAAAATGAAATGCGAACAGAGGAGCGCGTGGCTCGCGGTACAGGCTACGCCGCCTGGAAGTGAACCTAGGGGCGAGGGTGCGTGGCCTACTCCGATGTGTTCACGCCCCTCGATTGGCGCTCCCCCAGCTTCGGCAGCGCGCCTCGCAGTGCGCTGAAAGCTGTCACCGCTATCTTTGCCTGCTCGGCGAGTGCGGCGAGCTTCTTTGCAGCGCACGCGCTGAGCCAGCAAAGATAGCGGTGATAGCTTTCAGCGCACTTAGTGGCGCACTGCTGAAGCTTGGGGAGCGCAGAGGGAGGGGCGTGAACACGTCGGAGTATTTATTTTATTTATTTATTTATTTATCAATACTGTAGGTCATTGAAGACCCATACAGAAGTGGACATTAGTACAAACAAGAAGCACTACAGCGGTATAAGACATTCGATAAAAAAAAAAGACACAAAAAGAAAAACGTATAGGCGGAATGTTATGCTAGAGCATAGAAGTGAGAGTCTCGGCAAAAGACTGCGCTGATGTACTATTTACGATTTCTTCTGGTAACTTATTCTAATCATCAATAACGCGGGGGAAAAAGGAATATTTAAACGTGTTGTTTTTGGCTGAATACGGCCTGATCGTCTTGTTATGGTTGGTTCGCTTTGAGTGCACAAAGGGGGCCTTGAGGTATTTTTCTTGTTCTATATTTATTTGTTGTTGGTACAGTGCGTACAAAAACTTTAGGCTAGCAATTTTTCTTTGATCTTTTAGGGTGTCCAACTTTGCGTTCGCAAGCATAGCGGTAACGCTAGCCCTCCATGAGTAATTAGAATAGATGAACCTTACTGCGATCCTTTGAACTTTTTCCAGCTTATTGTCAAGGTAATCCTGATACGGACTCCAGATAATACTGGCATATTCCAAAACTGGTCTGACCAGTGCCTTGTATGCTGACAGTTTAGTTGCAGACGTAGAGTTTTTTAATTTTCTTCTCAAGAAGCCCAACTTCTTAAATGCATTACTGCATACGTTTGTGACATGTGTCTCCCACTTAAGGTTACTGGATATTGTAACTCCCAGGTACTTTATTTCATTTACTTTATTAATAGTTTTATTATCTAACATATATGAGAAGTCTAACGGGTTTTTCTTGTTAGTGATAGTGATCACAGCAGTTTTGTCGTGATTGATTTTCATACCCCATCTCTTACACCAAAGGCTTATGTTTTGCAATGATTTGTTAAGAATTATCTGACTCTCAGGTCCAGCTATGGTTGTATATATGACGCAATCGTCGGCGAAGAGTCTCACTTTCACAGTTGGATCAACACAAGCCGGCAAATCATTTACATAAATCAAAAATAGCAATGGGCCAAGCACTGACCCCTGTGGCACTCCGGAAAGCACATCCAGCATCCCAGAAGTACTACCGTTCAGTGTAACATACTGTTTGCGTTTGACAAGGTAACCATAAATCCAGGAAATCAAAGCATGACTAATTCCAACTGACTGCAACTTACTTATTAATTTCTGATGGGGCACACGGTCAAAGGCTTTTGATAGGTCTATAAAAATGGCATCAGTTTGTTGTCTATCGTTAATAGTAAGCGCAAAATCGTGGGTAACCTCTAGGAGTTGCGTTACCGTAGACAATCTTGCCCGGAACCCGTGTTGATGTGAATAAAGAACATTGTTTTCTTCTATGTGTTTAGTTATCGCCTTGCATATTATGTGTTCAATTAACTTGCATGTCGTACTTGTCAGTGAAATGGGTCTGTAGTTAGTGATTAAGTGTTTATTTCCTGTCTTGTGAATCGGGACAATCTTAGCACAACGCCAATCATCCGGTAGCCGTGAGGATCGCAGTGACTCAACAAAAATTAGACATAGATAATGCGAGAGCCACTCTGCATATCTTCTTAAAATTGTGCCAGAGATTCCATCAGGTCCAGCAGACTTTTTTACGTTTAGATTCAGTAGTAACGATAGGATTCCGGGCTGAGTAATCTCCAAGTTTGGCATTACAGGCACTTCAATATTTTCTGGTTCACATTCATCTTCGAGGGCTCTAGAAAATACAGACTGAAAAAAATAATTTAAGCCTGAAGATATGGTTTCTGGGTCAACTGTGATAGCGCCATCAATTTCGAACTGTGAAACATGGCTTTCTCGTCTCGACAGATATCGCCAAAACTTTTGGGGGTCATGTATAAGAAAATTTGGTAGGGTAATATTGAAGTACCTTGCCCTAGCCGAGTTGATTTCTAATGTAAATTCTCGTGATAGTTCTTGTACCTCGAGCTTGTTTCTACGTCTCCGCTTCAGACGGCGTTTCATGTGTATAATATTTCGCGTTATCCACGGGTTCATGCGGTTTATCGTTTTCTTTCTGTTAGGAACGAAGTTCGTTTCACAGTATGTTATTATATCTTTAAACTTGCACCACATTTCATCAACGTCGCACATATGGCTGAATTGATCGAATTGGGTTTCTGGATAATCAAGGATACATACATCATTGGCCATCGCATAATTTTTTACCGTAACAGTAACACGCTTGTTTGGTTTAGTATTACACAATGGATAAGTACAGACTAGTAATTTGTGATCGGAAATTCCATCTTCGACCGTAACCTTGAACTCTTTTAGGCAATTGCTCACAAACAGCAGATCTAGAGTAGAACTCGTTGTTCCGGATATGCGGGTTGCTTCCAGCACCAATTGGTCTAGACAAAAGCTGAGTGCGCTTTGCAATAGCTGTTCCGAGCTTTCTTCATCTATCTTATCATTTGTTAACGTGGTCCAGTTGATGCCGGGTAAATTAAAATCACCTGTCAATATCAGTTTAGTTCTATCGTTAACTTCTGCACAAAGGTACTCATGTAAATCAATTAAGTACTGAAGAGGAGCCTTAGGCTGTCTATAAATTCCGCCAACCAAAATGCTCGTTCCAAACATATTTACTTTGCACCAGATGCTCTCGTGATTTGGTATTCCATCAAGTTGTACAAAGGATATTCCATTTTTTATTACCATTGCCACACCCCCGCCCCTTGCCTCTCGATCTTGACGAATTAATAGGTATGCCGGTGGGACTATTTCTGAATCATGAACCCCTGGATGGAGCCATGTCTCCGTTAGTACTACGATGTGGGGATTATACGTGAGTAAACACTCTTCCAGTCTATCAACCTTGTTCACGATGCTTCGCGCGTTGAGCGACACCAGACACAATCGTTTTTCTTTCGATAGTGGTCAATCTTGCTCTTGCGGAAACATTCTGTAGGGGGTGTTATCTTGCTTCAGGCCACATTTCACGCGTTCACATTTCACAGGGTCCCAACTGTACAAGTCATTGTTAATCTTCAATTTATCAAAAATAAGCGTAACCTTATCTCCATTCGCTTTATTAACAGCAGCGCTTTGCCAAAGGTTTTTGCGAATCGCGCGCACATTATGTGAAAAATCTTCGGAAATTGATATTACCGAACCTTTCAATTTGAAGCAGTTTCTCAGAACTCGCATTTTCTCGTTAAAGTCGTTGACGCGTAATATCACTGGTCTAGGGCGATTGCCAATCTTTCTACCGATCCTATGAATGCGTTCGATAGTTTTTACCTCCACCTGTAGTTTAGCACTAAAGATACCTTCCGTTACTGTTTGCTGCAATTCCCTCGGGTCTTCTTTCTCATCCTCATGCAAACCATATATTACGATGTTGTTTCTACGGCTAGCATTCTCCAAGTAATCTATTTTCCCATCGAGCTTAACGACGTGGCTTAGTAGATTACGTATCTGAGTTTCGTTCTCGTCAATTCTTTCTTTGTTCTTGTTTAAACTTTCAAAGTTAGTCTCGATAAGGGAAAGCCGTGTTTGGACTGCTCCTAGAGAGTTCTCGAGTAGCACTTGTTTAGACTGAATATTGTTAAGAGTGACGCTCATTGTTTGTTGGTTGTCAAGAATTTGTCTCAACATTTCTTCAGTCGGACCTGGGTTTAACTCCACATCCCCACTAAGTTGTAGAAGCAACAAAAGCACACCCCAACACTCAGAGCATGTAACAATCAGGGACCGTGGGCTCGGCAGCACTAACAGTGTAAGAGAATAGTCTTTGACAGTGCAGTAAGAGGTTTTGTTACCAACCTGTACAAAAAGTAGCAGTGGATCAGTCATTCCACTCTTTGCGGTGCCGCAGAGCCCACTGAGGCAAACGTCGGGGCGGTTCCACTCCTTATAGGGAGGCACAGGTGGCGTTGCAGTAGACGATGTCCCATGACGATGACTTGGTGTTCGCACGAATGAGTGTGCTGTCATGTCGAGTTGGCTGAGTTGCCCTTCACTGTTGTTGATTCCATCTTTCAGTAGCGGTCCCTCTTGCGATGACGTAAGCAGTACCACCGCCTGTACAAAAAGTAGCAGTGGATCAGTCATTCCACTCTTTGCGGTGCCGCAGAGCCCACTGAGGCAAACGTCGGGGCGGTTCCACTCCTTATAGGGAGGCACAGGTGGCGTTGCAGTAGACGATGTCCCATGACGATGACTTGGTGTTCGCACGAATGAGTGTGCTGTCATGTCGAGTTGGCTGAGTTGGCCTTCACTGTTGTTGATTCCATCTTTCAGTAGCGGTCCCTCTTGCGATGACGTAAGCAGTACCACCGCCTGTACAAAAAGTAGCAGTGGATCAGTCAATCCACTCTAGGCCACGCACCCTCGCTCCTAGGCTTACTTCCAGGTGGCGCAGCCTGTACCGCGCGCCACGCGCTCCTCTGTTCGCATTTCATTTTTCCCCGATAGTACCGTTTGATGTGCAACATTGACTTTTTGACTCGCAAGAAATGCCCACAGCACGGAGCTGTCTGGCGGGGGCAGTCAAGTGTTTGTCAGCAAAAAGACGTAAAATGCTAAAAAAAAGATGGTAGTCAGTTTTATTCGAGGTAACTCGTGCCGAGCGAACAAAAGTTTAACGAGCTAGACACTAGTGAACCAAGCTTTGGAGCACTAAGCCTAGCCTAGGCCAAGTCCCGGAGACGACGGGACTCGGCCTAGGCTTTCTGCGCAGGCAGAAAGGGAAACCTTGACATACTTTTTTTCGGTACCTCTAAGAGATCGGCTAGGCACAATTCTTTCTGTTACATGTAGCAACATAGATGGAGCATGGCAAAAAGAAACTGGTCATCAAACGGAAACTAAGAGAGACATGAGAAAATAGTCTGTAATGCGTGTATGCCAGCCCACTTACCTTACAGTGTTATTGAACTGAAGGAAGCAAAAGAATACTGAATGAAGCAAAAGAATGCCATGGCTGAATTAGGCAACGTCGATAACATGCTGTAAAAGCTTTATTCTCACTGCATTGCATATCCAAATTGAGCCGCTCTGGGGAAACCTTAAAATTTCTCGCTTTCTGAGTCAGTTATGAAAAGTGTAGAAGAGTGCGGTGACAGCAGTGCCTCCTGGAGGGGGCAACACCACCTATGATTACGTAGTTACGGTGCTCTACAAAAAATGGCGTTCGGTGCATTAAAAAAATGGCGTCGGACCGTGAAAACAAAATCTAAAAACTCGTGTAAGTTGCATTGTTGTATGAGACACACCAAGAAAAATGTTTGGAAAAAACCACAACTTATACACCGGAAATTACGGTAGTCAAGGTGCACAAAGAGGAAGAAGTTTTAAACCATAGCAGATAATCCAGCTACTATATCTCTGTCTCTTTTTGTATCTTTGTATTCTGACACTTACCTCTATTAATACTTCATTGTGTACATTGAGTGTAGTTTTCACATTTCTCAAGTTAGTCTCCCATGTCTGCAAGAAATTAAGTTAAGAAATTGAAGACAGGATGCAATATTTTAATTGTACAATCAACGTATTAATTTATGGCTTAATTATTTCTGTGCCCATAATGACAGTTAAGATCTGCCTAAAATAAATGATGCCAATTGTCAGTCTCATTTGTAAGTAACCAATCGCTCAAATGCTTCTCACCTGAAATATCTCCTAGGTACCCTGGTGAACACTACCTTACAGCTGCCCAAGAACTCGTCAGGAGGTACCCGCAACTGATGGATAAATCACGAACTCGCTGTGTGAGTATGCATTTATACATCAATGACCTGATCGTAACAACTAACTGTGACACCTTTGGTTGCCATTGTACCCAAAGGTGATAACTCTCGAGATTTCTCACAATCTGTTAGAGGCTGTCCAACTCATTTTGCTTTAGGGATTGAATTTGCAAATATACAAGTCATGAAGGCTCCATAATCTCCCCCTCCCTTTTCCTGCCTTTGACTGTCCTGCCTGTGCAGATCCGGATGAGCATTGTACCTGTGTGGGGTCGCATATGGCTACAGCATGATGCACGTTGAAGACCCCGGCTAGCAGTCATACTGCGCTGGCTATACCACATCTAGAGTACGAAGAAGTGTCGCCATACATCAAAGGCAGCCTGGCCTTACGCTGTATAAATACAAACGTTTATTTGAATTTTTTTTAATTTGATTGGTGTTATTTAAGTTGCAGATATGGTTGAGCAATTAAATCACATAGAATTGAGGTGATATGAACAATCTGTATCAGCATATTCTCCACCACCAAGGAGCCCTTACTACAAGGAGCCCATACTTCAGTTTGTTGTACCGCTGTCACAGCTGTGGCACTGATCGGCTGTAATGGTAGAGCGCATATTCAAGGATAAAACTGTACATTGCCTATTTCATGGGTTGCATGCTGGAAACAAATTTAGAAACGCTCAACAATATGCTGATAATGTTCACAGGCACTATACTCGGTGACAACTTTTCTTAGCATTTCTGAAGAGACGTGGAGAGTGCGTGCACAGCTCTAATCAGCGCTCAAAAGGGAAGATGGCATGCATGCCCATACTTTTGACAGCATTGCGAAGAGTTGTCTTCGAGTATAGTCACTTATTTGTTTTATGACAATTTTCCTAAAAAATCAATTACATTTGTGTAGACATGAGGCTGCAGGCCATCATTCGGCACCCCTGGGCAGTACAGTGTTTGTAAAATCATCAAATTAGTCAGTAAATTCAGCAGATAGGCAAAGTGGATACAATTTTCCCAAACATCACATATTGACTCTTGCTAGATAATAGTCTACTTTCATAAATCCCTCCCTGTAGCATGGCACATGCTCCAAACTAGGGACAGTTGGCAACTGAGAAGAATGGTGAAGCCAGCGGCGTAGACTTTCCATTTTCCTGGGGGGGGGGGGGGGGGGGGGGCAGGCTGAGAAGTTCTCCCCGGAGGGGGGGGGGGGGGGGGTGCGCTTTAACTGTTTGCCAGAACTGGAGATTGAAGCTAACGAAAGGCACGCTGGTACTTAATTTCCCATGTATTTTGTCAATAAAAGCAAAGTAGGCGTTATTTTGTTTACATGCCACTCCTAGGAGCTCGTTACATGGCACGTATACATATTAACGGCATTAGCGCACACGTATAAGGAAGAAAGAAGGGACAGAAAAGAGCGCTACTCACAACTGTATTTACAAAGATGAAGAAAAGAAAGAACGTCGTCCAGCTCCCCATAAAGATGAAAAAGGAAGAAGAGGAAGCAGAAATATAAAACAGGAATCTAAAACACAAAGTCGGGTGTTCCCTCGCGCGCACAGGCTGGATGCACTGGTTCTTTGAATAAACCCTAAAACCTTTGTTGGCTGTGCCTTCGTTGTCGTGGTGCAGGGTGTGTTTGCTTCAGTCTTCGCTCGCGCCTGGTCACCCGTGTCAGAGGGGAAGACGAGCACATCATCCATGGTCGGCTGCCGCTGGGTCGTCGTGTCTGATGTCTCGCGGCACCCGTGACTCATGCGAGTTCTGCATTGTCCGTGTTAAAAAGTCTGTCTCCTTGCCTGTTAAGGCCACCGATGGAACACTAATGCATTTAGTAGCTGCGGATTTGATGTAGAAGGCTTCTACCACTTCGCGGGTCATTTTATCCTTGTGCCTCTCTAGGGTTATTGTTTCCCCGAACAGCGGATTACAATTGCACTCTTTGCAATGTGTTGCAAGATGGCCTCCCACTGTGGCTCTCAAAGAATAATCATGCTCGCGAAGTCGGTCATTGAGGCACCTGCCTGTTTGACCTACGTAGATCTTGCCGCACGAGAGTGGAATCTTGTATACCACGCCTGAAGTGCACGGAACAAAAGGTTTAGCATGTTTTTTTGTGCACCTGTGTCTTGTGGCACCTTCGGCTTGCGAGTTGACTACGGAGCAAATTTTGCTCATTTTTTCCGGGGCTGAAAATACCACTCGGACCCCATACCGACTTGCCACGTTCTTTAAATTGTGTGACGTCTTGTGAAGGTACGGGATTACCACCGGTCTTGTCTTTCCTACATCTTGCTTGTTGGCTTGGAGGCCTTTTGCCCTTTTCAACAAGGTGTCCGCTACATTAGCCAGTAGTGGTAACGGATAGCTGGCTTTTCTGAGTCTTTCAACTTGCATCGAGAAGCTGGCTTCCATTGTGTGGCAACATGATTTCTTGAGCGCGGATCCCAAACATGTCAGAGCAATGCCCCTCTTGACGATCTTAGAGTGAGCCGAACTGAAATCCAAAATTCGTTTCTTGGAGCGTGGAGAGTACGTCCAGCACACATGCGTATCACCTAAGTGAAGCGAAAGGTCTAAAAACTGGAGAACGTTTTCTTGAGGGACCTCATACGTGAACCTGAGGCCCCCTCCATACTCAGTGAAGGTCGCCAAAATATCGGTCACCTGTGTGTGCACATCGGTGTTATCTTGAAGAACAACCAGGAAGTCATCCACATAGCGGGCTACCTTGTTAACTCCTCGACTTCCAAGCTCCCTTTCAATGGCACAGTCTACAGCTCCCAGATAAATGTCACTGAGGACTGGGGCTACACAGGAGCCAATACAAACTCCTGACTTTTGTACATAGCACCCATCTCGCCACCCAACAATCATGGACGTTAGATAAAAATATAAAAGCTCTAAAAAGCTCTCCGTTGAAATTCCACAGTAGCCTCTGAAGGAGAGCTCTCCATTGGCTTCAATACATGTCTTCACAGACTCCAATAATTGTGCATGTGGCAATGAGTAAAACAGGTTCTCCACATCTATACTGAAGGCCGTACCGATCTCATTGCTCTTTAACCGGAGAAATTCGACGATTTCCTCAGAATTCCCTACTTTGAAGGGGTCCTGTATTTTTAAAGATGACAGATGTTTTTGGAGATAGGTCGCGACTTGTCTTTGCCAGGAACCCTTTTCGGTGACAATCGCTCTAAATGGGCTTCCTTCTTTATGCGTCTTTACTGAGAAGAAGACTTCAAGATGAAACTTGTCAACCTTCCCGATTCTCGCTGCTAACTGAGTTAGAGACAGACGTTCACAAAGACGCTTTGCTGCATCCCGAGTTTTCTTGGTGTCCACTTCTACCCGTTTGAAATTTTTCGTGATTGCTGTTGAGGCTCGATCATTGTACATGTTTTCTGGTAGAACCACAAACTGTCCTTCTTTGTCTGATAGTAAGACACGCAGTCCATTGTCACCCATAAAATCCACCAGGGGCTTAAAATGCCCAACAGGTTTTTTCTTCTGCTGAGGGTGAAACTGTCAACTCACTCAGAGATGCACCGTGGTCTGTCCGTTTCCACTGTCCTATGGGCGATTTGCTTTGCTAGTGTAATCAGCTCCGGTGGGCTTACCACAGGTTCGAAACAGTACTTAGGGCCTATCCCTAGACGCTTGCCAATATCCGGTGGCATCCTTACCTCCCCCAGTGTTGTGTAGAGACCCACCGTGGAGGGCACCGGTTCATTTGCTTTTTTGGTCGGGAGATGTGGCCTGATCCTTTCCCAGAGAAACTCCGTAGAGTCTTTTGATGTGTTGTTCATTACATGGTAGAACCTTCTTTTTTGTCGTTCGTTGCCATTACCCGAAAAGCAGGCAACTCTCAGGCAGTCCCTCAGGAACCTCTCCTGACGCCAGTATTCGGATCGTAGGATACGGCAAATTCTTCTTGTATGCCCTATTGAAGGAACCAAGAAGCCACATAGTCCCCTGAGTTCCACAGGACATGTACCCCTTCGAATGTGCCAAGAGGCCACCCGAGCACTGCACACACTCTTGGCTATCAGGTCCACAAGGACACACGGAGGCAAAAAAGGAAGGTCAGAACTCAAAGGGGAAGGGCCCGATGCAAAAGAAATAAACTGTAAAAGGGTTGATAACTGGGCTAGTTGGTAGTTAGACATATTAACGGCATTAGCGCACACGTATGAGGAAGAAAGAAGGGACAGAAAAGAGCGCTACTCACAACTGTATTTACAAAGATGAAGAAAAGAAAGAACGTCGTCCAGCTCCCCATAAAGATGAAAAAGGAAGAACAGGAAGCAGAAATATAAAACAGGAATGTAAAACACACAGTCGGGTGTTCCCTCGCGCGCACAGGCTGGATGCACTGGTTCTTTGATTAAACCCTAAAACCTTTGTTGGCTGTGCCTTCGTTGTCGTGGTGCAGGGTGTGTTTGCTTCAGTCTTCGCTCGCGCCTGGTCACCCGTGTCAGAGGGGAAGACGAGCACATCATCCATGGTCGGCTGCCGCTGGGTCGTCGTGTCTGATGTCTCGCGGCTCCCGTGACTCATGCGAGTTCTGCATTGTCCGTGTTAAAAAGTCTGTCTCCTTGCCTGTTAAGGCCACCGATGGAACACTAATGCATTTAGTAGCTGCGGATATGATGTAGAAGGCTTCTACCACTTCGCGGGTCATTTTATCCTTGTGCCTCTCTAGGGTTATTGTTTCCCCGAACAGCGGATTACAATTGCACTCTTTGCAATGTGTTGCAAGATGGCCTCCCACTGTGGCTCTCAAAGAATAATCATGCTCGCGAAGTCGGTCATTGAGACACCTGCCTGTTTGACCTACGTAGATCTTGCCGCACGAGAGTGGAATCTTGTATACCACGCCTGAAGTGCACGGAACAAAAGGTTTAGCATGTTTTTTTGTGCACCTGTGTCTTGTGGCACCTTCGGCTTGCGAGTTGACTACGGAGCAAATTTTGCTCATTTTTTGCGGGGCTGAAAATACCACTCGGACCCCA